CTCTAAGCTTTCTGTTCCAGCTCATATAATATATCCACATGAAACCCTCATCTATTCTCAAAAATCTTTCTGCACCTTCTCCAAAGCCTTCACACCTTTTTCAAAGTGTTAGTACCCAGAAATGGACACAATAATTTAGCTGTGTCCAAACCAATGTTTTATTACGGCACATCATAAATTCCTTACTTTTATATTCCAAGCCTCTATTTATAAAGCCTAGGATCCCGAATACCTTTTCAAATCACTTTGTCAACCTGTTTGCCACCTTCAACAATTTACACATATCCACACCCATGTCTCTGTTCCTGTTCCTACTTAGAATGCTATCCTTTGTTTTATATTGTTTCTCCTCAATGTTCCAACCAAAACTTAGGACTTCACACATTCTCTGTATTAAAATATTCTGTTACTTGGTTATCTATTCTACCAGTCTGTCCATGTCTTCTGAAATATATCACTATATTCCACATAGTTCACAATGCTTCCAAGTTTTGTGCCATCAGCAAATTTTGAAATTGCGCCCTGTACAACCAAGTATAAGTAATTAATCTGTACATATATTCTATATGTTAGTTAAAATAGGACAGTATCCTATATGTCTCTTAACTACCTTAATACCTGCACTGCTACTTTTAGGAATCTGTGAACACGCACGCCAAGGTCCTTCTGTTTCTGTATCCATTTCAGTATCACACCGTTATTGTGAATTCCCTTTGTTGATTGTTTCCCCATCAAATACATACAGAATTCTTCTCTGGATTAAATTCAGTTTGTCACTTTTCTTCCTACCTGACCAGTCCATTGATATCTTCCTGCGGTCTATAGCTTTCTCCCACCCCATAAATGACATGACCATTTTCTGGATTAAGTTAGTCATACATAACCTGTGCTTTAGAAAACTCCATGCTGACAACCCTTGATTAATTTGTGCCATTCAAGCTGATTTATACTGGCCCCTATATATTTTTTCCAATAACTTGCCCACGTAGAGGTCAGATTGACTGCCCTGTCATTACTTGGTATATTACTTCCTTCTCTGCTAAACTAAAGCACAATGTTGGCAGTCTTTCACTCCTTCAACATCATATCTGCAGCCAGAGAGGATTGGAAAATCTCTCCCCTTGCTCCTGGCAGTCTGGGATACAGTTTATTCAAGCGTAGTGATTTGTCCACTTTCAAAGATGCCAAATATCTCCTCTCTCACTATGTTCATCCCATTCAATGTCTCACACTCATCCTCTTTAATGTGGTATCTATTTGTATCAATCCTTTCCATTGTGAAAACTGAATCAAAGTATTTATTAAGTTCGTTAAAATATCCCCATCTCACTTGCCTCCACAGACAAGTTACCTTTTCAGTATCTAATCAGCTCCACTTTTTCCTGTTGTTCTTTTCATATTTATAAATCTTTAGGTTTTCCTTGATTTTACTTGCAAATGTCGTTCATGTTTCCTCTTTGCTTTCCTAATTTCCTTTTCAGTTTCACCCCTGCACCTTCTACACTTTTCAAGGCATTCTGCAGTATCTTATCCTCAGTATCTGTCATAAGCCTGCTTTTTTTTGCCTTATCCTACTCTGTGCTCATTACCAAAATGATACCTGAATGCCAAGGATTAACTGATGAGCAGAGATTGCACAAACTATTCCTTGAAATTTAGAAAGTTAGGGGTAATTTGTCAGTAATTTGTAAATTATCAAGATTTTAAGGGGAATACAGAGGACAGATAGAGAGAACAAAAACGTAAGTTGCTGGAAAAGCTCAGCAGGTCTGGCAGCATCTGTGAAGAAAAAAATCAGAATTAATTTTTTGGGTCCGGTGACCCTTCCTCAGAACTGATGGTAGCTGGGAAAACGTTGGTTTATATGCAGAAGATAGGGTGGGCGATGGGGTAGCAAGTAAATGATGAGATAAAGGATAGAGCCCAAAGAGAGAGAGCAGCAGTAAGACAAACAAAGGAGTTGATAATGATCTGGCTAGGAGGATGAACAGCTGTTAATGGGGACTGTTAGTAACTAACAATAGGTAGTGTGTAATGGCAGGCTATGTGATATTTCCCATTTCTGATGAAGGGTCTAGGCCCGAAACGTCAGCCTTTCTGCTCCTATGATGCTGCTTAGCCTGCTGTGTTCATCCAGCTCTGCACCTATATGTGATAATAAGGCCTGGTGTATGGGTTAGGGGGATAGGACATGGGAGAGTTTATGCCCTAAAATAACTTAGCTTGATAAAGTCTGGAGGGCTGCAAGGTCCCCACACAGAAAATGAGGTGTTCTTCCAGCTTGTGCTGAGCTTCACTGGAAGACTGCAGCAAGCCTGAGACAGAGATGTTGACCAGAGAACAGGGTGGTGTGTTAAAGTGGCAGGCAACTGGAAGCTCAGGGTCTTTTTTGCGAGCAGAACATAGATGTTCAGTGAGGTGGTCACCGATTCTACACTTTGTTTCCCCAATGTAGAGGAGACCACATTGTGAGCAGCAAATGCAATAGACTAGATTCTGTGAAGTGCAGGTGAAGTATTGTTTCACCTGGAAGGTGTGTTTGGGCCCTTGGTTACTGGAGAGGGAGGAGGTAAATGGGCAGGTGTTGCACCTTCACTGGTTGCAGGGGAAAGTACCGTGGGGCTGTGGGGGTTGTTGGGAGTGAAGGAAGAGTGAATCAAAGTGTCCCAGAGGGCACGGTCCCTGCAGAAGGAGGACAAGGGAGGGGAAGGAAATATGTGTCTGGTGGTGGCATCTCGCTGGAGGTGGCAGAAATGGTGTCCGATGAGCTTCTGGTTGTGGATGCTGGTGGGATGGTAGGTAAGGACAAGGGGAACCCTATCGATCTTGCGGGAGGGAAGAGAGGGGGTGAGGGCGGAAGTACGGTTGAGGGCTCTGTCGACAGTGGTGCTGGAGAATCCTCGGTTGAGGAAGAAGGAGGCTCCCTTGTCGAAGTTAGCCTCATCTGAACATGTGCAATGGAGATGAAGAAGGTCAGGACTCAATTTTGAGTTTAATAATTTTAAGGCCTAAACTCTCTCATGTTCTAGCCCCCTACCCCACACACCAGGCCTTGTTATCACATAATAAAAACTGAAAGAACTGCGGATGCTGTAAATCAGCAACAAAAACAAAGTTGCTGGAGAAAGTCAGCAGGTCTGGCAGTATCTGTGAAGAAAAAGTCAAAGATAACGTTTCGGGTCCGGTGACCCTTCCTCAGAACAGATGCTGCCAGACCTGCTGAGCTTTTCCAACTTTGTTTTTGTCATAGACTTCCATTACACACTAGACATTCGTCACTAACAGTCCCCATTTACAGCTATTCACCCTCCTAGCCAGATCGTTATCAATTCCTTTGTCTATCCAACTGCTTTATCTTTTTGTTTACTCCCTACCCCAACACCCTCCCTATCTTCTGCATATAAACCGACATTTTCTAGCTGCAGAGATAGTAGGAACTGCAGATGCTGGAGAATCTGAGATAACAAGGTGTAGAGCTGGATGAACACAGCAGGCCAAGCAGCATCATAGGAACAGGAAGGCTGACGTTTTGGGCCTAGACCCTTCATCAGAAATGAAGGGTCTAGGCCCGAAACGTCAGTCTTCCTGCTCCTATGATGCTGCTTGGCCTGCTGTGTTCATCCAGCTCTACACCTTGTTATCTCATTTTCTAGCTGCCATCAGTTCTGACGGAGTTCTAATGAAACGTTAACGCTGATTCTTTTTCTTCACAGATGCTGCCAGACCTGCTTTTCCAGCAACTTCTGTTTTTGTTCCTGAATTACAGCGTCCGCAGTTCTTTCAGTTTTTATTTTGACAGATGGACAGAAGCTTTTTCTGTTAGATGGAGTGTCGAAGACCAATGATATGGTCTAGAAGTTAGAGCTAGGCCTTTCAGAATTGAAAATAGGAAACACTTCTACACTCAAAAGGCTAAGGAAATCCAAAACCCTGTTCATAAATGGTTATTGATGTTCAATCAACTGAAAATATTAAACCAAAGAGCAAATAAGATCATGTTCAAGGGGCTAACGGCCCTTTCTGCTCCAATGTTATGCAAGTTACTGCCTGAGAACTGTGCTCCAGTGCTATACACCCAATATGAATCATCACAGCTGGCTCGTAGCAGCACGGAATATCCATATGTATATCTACCAGACTCTCTACAGGGATCTGTAACTCCGTCAGTGTAGAAGTGCCCTAACTTCAACAGCTGTGATATAACTTCCTTGCTTACTCTATATTTTAAATTGTTGGCACCCATTTCTGAGAAATTTCAGTCTCTATCCTGGTGTCAGTTGTATCTGCTCCTATTTTTAACTTCAATTGGGGTTAAGATGTACTTGAAACTTGCCAACTGAAAGTTTGGTTTTATTGAGACCACTTTCCTTATAGCATTCTGATGGGACTACAGAGAACAAATTACCGGGACAATTTTTGGCAGTATTCCAGAATTCTACAATTTTTTGTGTGAAGAAATGCTTTCTAACATCACCTCTAAATGACCCAGCTTTAACTTAATTTTTTTTTCTGGATTGCCCACCAAAAGAAGCAGCTTCTATTTATTCCTTTCAAATTCTTAAACATCTCAATTAGATCTACCATTAATCACAAACTATAAGAGGTCAGGGCATCTGAAGTTACCTTTATGACTGATTAAGGGGAGTGATATATTTCTGAGCTTCAATCCTTTAGGTATTGTTTTCATGACAGAAACTTATTTTTCATGGAAATCTCACTGCTAGCAGATCGAAGAGGTTGATTTCAAACCTACCCCTGTCTTAGAGATGAAAGCATCATATGTTAACCCATTCCACCAGCTTTAGTTGACCCACTTCAGCAGTAATCCCATAAAGTTTGCTCCTTAAACTAAGTCACCTTTCTAGAACTGAAAGAATTTGACATGTCGACATACAGAATAATTCCTGCCCCGTAACCACTGAGATCAAACTAATATCAGTACTGTGTAGAGTCATGTAAATACTTTATCTTGATTTACAAAGGGCTAAAGGAGAACTTACCTTATGTATACCCGGTGAAGTTTCAGAAATAAGACCAAAGTGCTAGAAAGATTAAATAAAACCTGGTATTTGTCCAACAGGCTTCTTTTTCAGAGGAGCTTTCCTTTAGCCGTTAAATTATTTCCTTTCAAATGTTATAGAGTATTCAAAAAAAAATGCAGACAAGCTCTTGGTAGGTAGAAGGAAACCGCAAACAGACCCACACGAGGAACCCTTCTGATCAGTGACTTGTCTGTCACTTTTCTCGATATTTAAAAATGATGCAACAAAATTACTCTTTAGAAAAATTCCGTAGCCATCAGGGCAACAGAGAATGTCTCATTAGGCGTTTTACCGCACCTGGCAAATCTTTACAGTTACTGTAATTTCTTGAAGAAAAAAAACAGCTTGTCTTCCATTTGTGACATCTCTTCCTGTTGGTTGACTTTTTTTTGTCTTCCTGTTAGTATGACAGACAACAGGATGTGAGAATAATCAGCACATGGTAACTAATCAAAATGCAGACAAAAAAAAAGACAATACAAAGATGCGTTAGGCTGCAAGAGGTATCATCCCTCTCAATGCATCATACATGCCCACATAGGAATTAAGCACAGAAAGAATTACTGTACAATTCATTGCAGTACATCTGTTACTGCATATTAAACGTAACCTCGCAGTCCTTATTCCCAACATTATTAAGCAATCTATTTCGATTTTATAAAATGAAAATTATTTCTAAATTTCTAAAACTTTACAAAATTAAATTTGCCTTTTTATCCTTATAAGAAGAAAACTAAATCTTTTATACTTTGAATCAGAGATAGTAGGAACTGCAGATGCTGGAGAATCCGAGACAATCAGGTGCAGGGCTGGATGAACACAGCAGGCCAAGCAGCATCATAGGAG